TTCAGCACATCAAAATACATAATAAATAGCACATTTTATCTCTGAAGCAGAAGACTTCTCAAAAAATGTAGACCAGTGTAATTATTTGATGGCAGTAGACATTTAGATTCAAAATGTTAAATCTTTATAACCGTTAAAACACAAGTTTTCAACACTACATATCAAAATATACAACATGAATATCTTTAAATCAAACTCTAAAGTTCTCAAGCAGCATTTTTCTTACTTTGCCATCTGCAAATTTCTGTTCTTATTGATGGAGTGTGTGTGGTTGCAATTGGCTTTTACTGACATTTTCCCAATTAAAAAAAAGTTAATCCTTCCAAGCTATAAATAATCAATATTCAGGGTTGGCCCCCTCCAGCTTAACCCCTAAGATTTAGCCCACCTCTAGTAAGTATTTTGCAAGATCAAACATTAGATTGTAAACAGGGTTTGGGCCCCATTTTACTTTTGTAAGGTGCCGTGCACATCTGTGGTTTTACAAAAGTAATAAATAAGATCCCAAGAATCATCCCTGGTATGTTAGCCCAGGCAAAGTGGGGAATCACAAGAATTTTACCTTCCTGTTTGTTAACAGAAAGCATTTTCATGTTCTTTATTTTACTGTACTCCCCTCAATACAGCTTGTATCGTGGCACTTTTGCTACTTTATTTTTCATTCAGCAGATAATTCTCATTGTCAGCAGGACAAAGGCTTTACATATAAGGGCAAGATAAGGTCAGCACATGTCACTCTCTGCCATATTTAAACTCACATTATCATATTACATAGAAATCTGGTACTCAACTTCATAACAATAACAATCTTCACATATATCATTTAGCAAGAGGCATAAATCTGTCATCAGTGAGCAGCCAAAAGTAAACCTGCATAATCTATTGTAAAGGATCTAGCCTTAAAGAGCTCCCATACTTTCCCTCTGTAAACATCATAACCATATTCAATGGTTGTTTTCATAACTTAGTGAATTTTGGGAACAGAAATTCTGTGTGTTTATTTTTTTAAAATGTGCCTGCTACATATCAATAGAGGGTTCAGGCCTGATCCAAAGCTCATTGAAGTCAATGGAAAGGTTCCCATTGACTTCAAAAAGGATTTTGATTAATAGATTTTAAGAAGGGATCATCTAGTCTGATTTGTTGCACAACACAGGCCATAGAACTTCACCAAGTACTTTCTGCATCAAACCCATAACTCCTGGTTGAGCCAGAGCATATCTGTTAGAAAGACATCCAGTCTTGATTTAAACTCTTCACGTGGCAGAATTCAGCTTCTATCAGCTACAGCTAAAACTTAATCATATTCAAAAAATAATCAGAATTTAAGCTATGAAAAAAGATTTCACCACAAACAAGGTAATTAACTCTTACCATTTTGAGGGAAGATTAACTGCACTTCTCTCAGACAAAGGCCCTGATCCTGCAGTCTGATCTATACAGGTGGACTCGTGCATCCATGAATCCCAGTGGTGGGCAGACAACTGCGCAGACAGATCCTACAGCAAGATTGGGTGTTCATGTGCAGGGATGATAAAGGTGAGAGAGTAATGCAAGTTTGCTGAATCCTCTGGCCTTAACCACAGTAGCATTATCAACAATGCTTGTTCATACAATAATAAACACTTGGAAGGAAACAAAGACTTGGCAGCATCCAAGAATAACAACAAATATTATAAATCCACCTATAGTAGTCAAAGTACCCATTCTTTTTTTAGTGCCATTTAGAAAGATTGTGTGCCAGTTTTTAAAATTGATTTATTTATTATTATTATGTAAATTCTGAAATATGAAAGAGTGTGAGAAGTATAAAGAGACTACTTCCATACACTGGAAACAGGCAAAGGAGGAGCAGACAAACTAATCATAAACTAATCAGGTTCCCAAACACTGTCATATACATATGCATATATTGCAGTTTTAAATTATTATTGTTTATTGTTAAAAGCAGCCAGCTCAAAGAAGGTTGCCTTGACAAGAAAACAACTAAGCCTATGTCTTCACTTCATACTAGCCGCAGGGCAAACAACTGAGGGTAGCATAATCCGTAAGAGCACATCCACATGTACTATGCCGTAATTCCCTAAGTCCGCACTGGCACCATATCAGGGTGTCACAAACAATACAGCTATCTGGGAGCGTATCCCAAGATGAATAGTGCCACACCTCACTGCGTCACGCCATGCTCACATTTGCAGGGTGTTATGGGGCAACTTGTCTGCCTACTCTGAGGATTGTGGGAGGCTGTTTAATGGAGAGAACACTTGAGTAGATTCCTTGTGTGGGTATATAGCAAATACCAATCAAAAGAAGAATTGAAGTGAACTCAAATAACACAAAATAGAAGGATGTGAGTCAAAGGAAAACAAAAATTAATTATAACCTATTCTCTTAATGATCTGTATGGTAAGAAAAGTATGAGGAGAAGAAAGTTCTTTTAAAACCTTGCACTTTCTTATATTTACCTAGCTTTAAATTTTTGAATGAGTCAGCCTTGAGAACATGCTAACATGCTAACAAGGGATCACTAGCTCCCACTAAAAATTGATCTGCAGACACTAATGTAGTGTCAGAGAGGGAGAGAAACGTTTTGGATTGGAAGGTTTTAAAGAAGTAAGAGTTTCACTGTTCCAAGAGTTTCACGGTATCAAACAGAAGAGATGGATGAAGCTGGAGAAACACAAGCAGGCAAACTGCAAGCTGAACAGGGGTAGATAGTAAATCCACGTCTGGTGAAAGCACAAATAGATGGCCAGATAGTACACAGGAATGGGTGCCTAGAGGACTTATGGAAAGGGATTGGAGAACAATCACATCTCAATTATTTTGACTGTCCATGGCTGCACATTTTTACCGCAGTTACTTTGGGGTAGCAATACACATTAACAGCCACCGTGGGCTGCCGATGGTTCAGGGAGCGGTGGCTACCTTGCTGTGTCATACAGATACAGGCAAGTTCATGTGTTAATGCAGAGCCTGTTGAGGAAAAAAATGCAGTTGAGCCTGAGGTAAGTCTGCAGTGAAGGCAAAGCCTAAGAACTTCTTTTCACTGCAGTTAGCTCAAGGTATAACTTGGCACTTGAGCGTGTTACTAGGGTCCCAGGAGGACACGACTTGCCAGTGCCACTGACTGTGCTGCCCCATCAGCGGCTTCACTGCTATCCTTACTTGAGCTATTTTTAATATAGCTAGATCCTAGCTATCTCAGGTGTGTCTACATGTGCTGCAACCACACTTCCTGACTCCAGTGTGGACAAACCCTTGTTCTCCATATTGCTAAAACTTAGTTATGTGCTAAACTCTAAGCACGTGACTAGTGTTTTTAACTAAAGCTGGTTGGAATATTTGACTAAACATATTTTTGACTAAATATGCTGTTTTGTCAAAGCTGAAATATTTCGAAGAGACTTATTGGATTTTATGAAATTTTCAAGGAAAGGTTTCAGGTCATTTCCACTGTGTAAGAGCGAGACCTAAATCCAAAACCTCCCCTTTTTGCTCCAAAAACAGATGCTTTCACACAGTTCTGTCTCACAAAAACATTCTAAATAGTTTAATTTTGTTCCAATGTGGAATGAAAACAAATTTTGAAACCTCAAATGTTGCTGTGAAATGGAATTGTTGTCCTCCGGCTGGCCTCTATGTTTAACATCAGTGTGACTAATAACGCAGCTGAGGTGACTGAAATGCAGCTCCCTTGGTATAAGCAAGAAGTAGCTGCTGGCAAGCATTCTCTGTGAAGGCCTCTAAGCTTAGTATTCACCTTCCCCTGGCTCATCAAAGCCTGGATTTGTTGGCTTTCTACACACACTGGCAAAGAAAATGCACCTGACATATATATGAGGAGATGACAGGTTGAGGCTGGTCAGGCATGAGTGAGGCATTTATATTGTATTAATATTTCTCGGTGTGTGACTATTTAGGAGATATGTACGGTTTATTGTATTTTGTTTTATTTGTAAATGTGCCATAAGTTTTCATTATTGTTAAAGCACCTAGAACAACTGGAATGGCTGTTATTGACTAGCTATTATTAACTGGAATTAAAAATGAAACAAAGCAGTTAGTCATATACACACAATCCAGTTAATCAAAACGATGTAAATTGGAGGTGATTATAAAATGAATGAAGCATATTTTCCTCTATTGAAAACATGTGGGGCAGAGTGGGAGGACTGAAATTAGTTGGTAAGTTTAATCCAGTTCATTGTAGGTAGGTTGTAAAGACCAGAAACACCAAATATAGACTATCATTACAAAACTGAAACTGCCAAGTAGTCAGCCAGTCTCATAAGACAAATAGTTCCTAAAAAGGATTTCTATTAAACTTATCATCACCTTTTGTTCCTTACATGCAATTTCCAAGTGTAGTCATTTGGCATTTACCCTGAATCCTGACCATTGTCCTGCAAGTGATACAGTATATTGGCGACAACTTCTTACTACCGAGAATCCTGAACAGCCTGGTATCCTTTAAGTATTCCTCTTTTGTTACCTCTTCTTTCAGTATGTCTACACTTACAGCAATGTGCTGAGCACAGACACTGCATGCCCAGCTATCATAGATATAAATCCGACATGCCAAACCCGTGGGGAAAAAAATGCAGAAATTGGGCTTGTTTTGGCTTAATTGGCTTGTGAGTTGCTTGTTGGCTAATTTTTTTTGCTTGTAGCTTGTAGCTTGTTGCTTGTTTGTTTTTTATTGGCTCCCAGCAAGCAGGAGAAAGGGGCAAGTGGGGGAGAGAGTCAGGGGTGCACAGTGGGCCCACCACAGTCACAGACTGCATGCCCGGGGGGATCTAGTCACATAGAGTGTTGGGGTTCTTAGGGATTGGCTTGTTTTGAAATGGGATTAGCTTGATTTTTGGCTTATTGTGAAAGTCAGGGTGCTTATTTACTGTGTGAAAGTTAGCAACTGTGATATAAATAGCGGTGTAGATGGTGAGGCACTGCTTAGGCAAGTAGAGTAGAGCTAGAGTGCCCTACATAGCTGAACCCTAGGATATGCACGCTATATGGGCTCACTACACACCCAAGAAGTGCATCCCACATCTACACTATTATTTTTAACAGCAAAGTGTCCCACTGCCATCCCCCTGCTGGAGCCTTTCCCTGCTGCGTCCCTCCTGCCAGAACCTTTCACTGTCTCAGGTAGCTACCCACTCTCAGGTGAGTGTGGATGCAGCCGGACTTTCACTGTGACGTGTAGCTACATGTTCCCTGCGCACCACCACAAATGTAGACAGTTCTTAACCTCTCCCAGTTGGTCTGCATGAAATTCCCAAACAAGTGTAATTAGAAATAATAGACTAGCTTCTTTGTTGCCTTATGTCATTTACACCAGTGTAAAGTGAATACAATGTGGGTATAAAATTTTACCTAATCAGAATGACAGCGTTTGACAATTTAAACCAGCTGAGGATCTGCTCCATGGTTTGCCTAACAGCTCTAATCTTCTGCTCAGCAAAAGCTACACTAAATAGGCACAAGTCATGTCATTACACTTTCAAAACAAAATGTTATGACTTTCCATTTTGAAACTATATTTTGTTTTGAAATGTATTTAACCAAAAATAAAACAAAGGATACAAAAACATTTTGTTTTATTTTGGGTTGAATGAAACATTTTGTTTTCAGTCAAAAAAAACATTTCATTCAACCCAAACCATATTTTTTTTGGTTCAGCCACCAAATCGAAAAACCAGATATTCACCCAGCTCCACTTTACATTTATAAAGAATGCATCCTCTGTGCTCCACGTGTCTCTTTCTCCCTGACTTTTTTGGCAAGTAGCTTGTTAGTCACTATCTTTGGTTTATTGGGTAGATAGTGTAGCCCCTTTTTTTCCCATATCCACCAGTTATAATCTGTGCTCCATTCAGTCTTAAAAGTGTGACCCAGGATATTCTAAAATTAGGCATCCTACAGATAACCCCCTCAGAGCTGACATGGCCATCTTATGAGGTGTCCCTTGCATATGTCTTCCACCAATTCAGAACTGTGTTCCTTATTTTCGACAGCTTCGTTCCTGTTTTTTCTCAAGAGCTTTACAAATTCAAAAGGTCATCTGCTCTTTGTAATATCTTAATGAATGTGCTTTTGCAAGCTAATGGTCTTGACTGGAGCTGTCAGCCTGAAGTCAGTTCAGTCTGTTTTTTAAGGATACAGAGTATATATATTTTTCATTCTCAGCATTAAATCTACTCTATATCAAGCATGAATTCTGGACAGATTAATGCCGACCAGTAACAATTGTGATTGACTGTGCTTTACAGGCAAGTTTGAATACTCAAATCTAATTTGTTCCACATGATTGACCTTTTCCAGCCCCAATCCTTTTTGTATCTGTTTTGTGTGATGGGTTAGTGCAGAGCTATTTTAATCATAGCCATCATTTTTTAGTTGTTTTTGAAGGACATTTTCGTTTATTGGGATTTTTTTCTTTTAAAATAGATTTTTTTTAATGGTATCTTCTTCTTGTTGTTCTCCCAAGTTGAGG